GGGCCCGGTGCCCGGCGCTGGGGAGAGCCGGGCCTGTGCCGCCGCCCGCGAAGGGGAGCGGGGCGTCCCTGTGGAAACCACCCGGGATGGCGAAGGGTGCCGGTGCGGCGGGCGGCCTGCGGTATCTGGAGGCCGGCCCGGTGCCCTCTCCTCGGGAAACAACCGGCCAGCGGGCACGGCTGTCATCGTGTGTGCTTGAAAACGGTACTTGAGAGTAACCCAGACTGGTCACTACAAGCCCACGTTAGGTGTTTTCCTTCTAGCGGGGTTTCACGGGGAGAAAGCCCGAGGGGTGCGGGAGCCCCCGTGAGGGGAGCTGAAGGCCGGGAGCTGGGTAAGGCTGCCTCTGCTTGCGGTAGCGTCTTGCATCTAAATACAGTGAAATGCGACCTGCAGTGGCTACTCAGGCAGCAGAAAACATTTTAACTACAAAACTGCACTGAAAAACTGGCTGATTTCAAATTGTTACAATAACAGGTTGCTCTCCTCAAGTGGAAATACGTGAGTGACAGCTCAGGACAGTTCATGGTGCTAGAAATGGATTTAGGTCTAACTAGCAGTCACTGAACACCTACTCCAGCTCCCACCAGGAATTTTAGACAGCTACAGCTCTGCCCATGGCCGGAGCCCATTAGAGCATCTCTGGACAGCAGCTGCGCAAGGAGCCACCAGGCTGGAGGAGTGGACTAGGAGCCAGGAACCACCGAAATGCGGCCAAAGCAGTGCTGCATTTAGCGGTGTACCCCAGCACAGGTAATGTTTCCTGAAGGGTCAAGAATATGTGCTAGATAGCGACAGGCATTAGGTTTTCAGAAAAAGAGAGATCTGAAGGGTTTTGCTCAGTGAGGAAGGCAGACCAGGGTATGGGTGCACCAAAGTAACCGTGAGGTGCCCGGGGTTCTGCGTTGTGCCGTCACACACAGCACTCTTTACACACTACTCTGTTGAGCCTGGGTTTGCATCAGCTGTCCATGGCAAAGTGGCTCTTAAGTAGTTAAGATATTTACACATTGACAACCCATGATTATTACAATTTGCTTTACTTCAAATCTTAATGAAAAATGTTTCTAGAACTGAAGTACGTTTTCACAGCACTTCAATGCAGACATAGCCAGGCTACCTGGAAGCAGACTGGTACCTGCAACAGCATTGTACTGCAGAGCACAAGTACAGCATAAGTCCCAGCTTTCCCTTTCCTTAGGGTCCCAGAGAATCCCAGGCTGTGCACCACACACCTTATTGAAGAAATGACAGTCATACCTGCTAGAAAATATCTTCTAACATGAAGAATTTTCCTGAGATTCAGAAATTCCCAGTTCAGAAGCTTGCTTTGCTGATTTAGTTTAGTGGTGGCTTAGTGGCTGGACTTGGCAGTGTTAGGTTAATGGTTGGACTTAATGATCTTAAAGGGCTTTTCCAACCTAAATGATTCTATGATTGCGGAGTCCACAGCCCAGGACAGTAGCCTAGCCACGGAAGTATTGAGTCTTTCTTTCCTTAGTTTTCTACCTGAGTGCCATAACCAGTGAGACTGCAAATACTATAGTATGTAATATTAAATAGTCCGTTGGTTAGGGCTGACTCCCTGGAGAGATGGAAGACTCAAATACAGACTCTCAGCCAGGAAGAACCTCTGAGAGCTCAGGTGACAGCGAGGCTATTCTACATCGGGTCATACCACTTAAAGAGGCTTCTACATAAATTCCGAAGAACTGTTGGAGATGACTGCCTGACTTGGGAATCTTGTTTCATGGGCTTTAGGATGCCGAGCAGCTCGTTAGTTAGAGCACATTTGAAGATGACTCTGAGGAACCTGATCTGACTTTGAAGATGGAGCTAAACCCTCCGTGGTCCCTTTCAGCCTGAATTACTGTACGCTTCTGTAACATGCACTTCAGTGGAACTCTTCG